AAACCATACCTATTTTATAGTTTCTTTCCCAGTCTCCACTGCTTTAACTTGATGCCTTCTTTAGGTGCATGTGACTTAAAGAAAAAAATTAAACTCACTGATCCAGCAGGGTATCCCTGTCATCAACACGTAGCAATCATGTTTAGGAGGAATAGATAAGGAATTTGTTATTTTCCATGTGACCTTTTATAAATTCACTTATGAACTGTCCTTCAAGGAAATAGCAGTAGGGAGATATTACACACATGCCAAATTCACTAGCAGTCCTTCAAAGTTACCTATCAAATGGGAGCAGTTTCTTGAAACTAGAGATTGCAAGTCCTAGATTTAATGTGTGGTGAAGGGATTTGGCTTCAGAATACCTAGTTCTCCAAATGGTTCTAGTACTTGGTCTTTGTTCCCATGGTGTCGACGAGGATGTTAAATGTTGGAAGTAAGATGGGTTACTGAGGATATGAGAGGGTATTTAAGCATTCTGAGTAGGATGGTGTCTGAGCCCACTGTGGGCACTGATGTACGATGGTCAGGACAGATGTGTTTGGGATGCTGCCCACCTCCCTGCTGAGTGCCTAGTCTGTCTTACACAGTCACACCTAGTATCCTGCTTCTGATGCCATTTCTTCATTTGCCCTCTCTTGATTTTGGGATGTACTTCTGGGTATTTCCCTCTCAAAGTTATCAGGATGGAAGTCCCCAAGGGTCTGTTCCCTTTCTCTAAGTTAGTGTTTCCATGGAAAGAAGTACAAATGTTTTGTCTGTGCGTAGATGGCAGGAGAGTTGTCTTTTTCTCTTTCCATGCCTCACCTTTCACCTGAGCATGGTAAACATTTTCTACCATCAAAGTCTTTGACACAAAAAGTCTGTCCACATTTCCTGATTTATCTGTTTGTCCTCTTGGTTCTGTCTTTTGTGATTTAATGTCATCAGTAAATAGCCAGCTATGCAACTGAAGAGAAGTTTTAAAACTGTCCCCCCTCACTTTTATATCTTCCCAACACTTATTTCTTTGTTTTTTTTTCTTCCATGTATCTTGTGGCTACTTTTTCTCTTAGGATAAATTAGAGTATTTTTCTCTTCTGGCTTATATATTCTATCACTCAGTGAAAGTATATACCAGAAATATTCAGAGTTTGAACTTTATTGAAAAAGTAGTGGTTCTGAATAAATGTCAAAGGGGGACACATAGTTGGAATCTGTCCTTACACTCCCTTGGAAAAAACTAAAGCATTGTAGCATTTTCCAACCTGTTCATTCCTTCTCGTTTCTTTTCTTTAGTGTCTAGGCTAAAATTTCCTCTTGATCTCATATTTGAATATAGATTCATGCTATAGGAAAATAACAGCTGACAAAATTGTTTCCAAGCAAGCATAAGTTCCGGTTTTCTGGAATTTTCCAAATGTAAAAGTTATGGGGGAAGCACTGCCATGCAGCCCGAAAATCATTGATCTCTTCAGAGACTGTGGTTTCATGTGTTGAGGGCTGGTAAAAGGTTCACCAGATATGACCTGATGCTAAAGGTCAGGGTTTATCATCCCCCTCAGCCAATCAGAAGGGATTTGCTGGGGTGGGAGGAGAAGGAAGATCTTCCAGGAAGAGTTCAATTCAGAGCTGACAACAATCTTCAGGACAGAAAGTAAATAGGAGTTTTAGGTTGGTTTTTGAATACAAAACTGGTAAAAGCCCCAAACAGTAAAGAAGAATCTCCCATGGATGGGTTCTAGGGAAAGCCATCACGTTATCTACCTCCATCCAGAAGAAGACAAAGGACCCAATGAGAGTAAAGAGCATCGTCACCTCCTCTTCTTCAAACGCTCCATTGAACACCTGAACTGGTTGACGGAGTTTCTTCCATAGGTTTGAGAGTCATTGTTCCCATTGTCAGGGCATGACCTTAAACCCACAAGTAACGAATTGTCTGCTCCTGAATGGGAAGCCTTCCTGTCCGTAAAAGTTGTCACAAATCTAATCACAGGTGATATATGGGAACACATTCCTTTTAAATGCGCCTTTCATTTTAATTGAGTGTTTGCACCTTTGGGTAGAAAAGAATGCCACTTTGTAGCCCTTCTCTCAGGCTACTCTCTGTGGCTAAAAGAAAACTTTAGAATAGATTCTTCAAGTCTTTAAGTAGATTGACAAGGGCAGTCACCTTTCTGTGCATAGGTGAATTTTTGTACTGTTTACTCAAGGTCTTTATGTGTAACAACATCTTTCAAATGGTTGCAACTTGAACATTTAATTCTTTTTTAGAAGTCAAATATAGAAACTTGACTAAAATACTGTATATCCCAAATTTTAATTGACAAGTTCAGTGCAATGACACCGAGTGCTGAATTCGGTTTTCACAGATGTTCTGTATGTACCAACCATTCACCTTGTGCATTACTAAGAGGAAAGCCATGTGCAGACCTCAAGTTGCCCTGGGTCAGAAATGGGGTGATGAGACTTGTGCATCTTTATATACAGCAGGGAGTTGGAACCATGATCTTATCTTTGCAGGCCAACTTTCTAGAGTCAAAAATAACTTGTATATGTTTATTGCTGCCCTTTGAAGAAAACATGTGACAAAGAATAATTAAAAATAAAGATGGGCATCTATGAGGCTAACCTGATGCTGGCTTCAATTAAAGCTTTAAAAATTCACTGCAAATTTTTTTCTCCAAGAAAGAATTCTTATTTAATGTGGAAAACCGGGGGTGTGACTGAATGATCAAGGCCCTCACTCATCTTTTTCCCATCCCAGCATCTGCATTGATCTGACAGGATTGCTTCCTGTTTGGGAGGACTCTGCTCTGTAATGCCAGGTGAACTCTTGAGGGAGAGGTTCCCCATATTTCTCATACTGTTCAACAGCTGAAGAATTCCATGTCCTTCCAAGTTCATTCAAATGTTCCATGCTCTACCATCTTTAGGAAGACCCTTTCATGATCCTAGTCTGTAATTACTGATCCAGTCATCCTCATTTGTTAAAAGCCTTTTCTACCTCTTCTATTTAGCACAGAGCCCCTGAACATCAGGGCCAAGGCTTTTCATCTTTTATTTTCACTCCCACCTATACATCAGCAGAGAGAACAGTACTATATAATTAGTACTTAGTTATAACTTCTATTTGTAAAACACCTTACATGTTACAAGGTGCCCCCCAGATTTCTTTCTACTAAATTATCTGACTGGAATTGAAATTAATTCAAATAACTGAATTGAGAAATCCTGTTAGGGGATAGAAGCCAAGGTAGAAGGTAAGAAAGAAAGTTAGACTAAGTTATTCAAAAATTAATGTTATTAAAGCACATAGACCAAGATAATGGCTACACAGACTTGGATGGCTACCCACAGGCCTCTAAGGGGATACAGGCTCAGATGGCTAGTCACAACTCTCTATGGGGACACAGGCTTCCTTGGATGTCTTGTTCTTACTCCAAGACAATGCGCTCTCATGCCACATAAAGTTGCTCCTACATTATGCTCACTGGATGACTGCTCTACAGCTGAAGACTTGCAGATGAAGAGAAGCTTTTTCTTGTGTGCATCTGCATGTGTGTGAATGTGTTCTTGTGTGCATGCATGCGTGTGTATGTGTGTGTGATAAGAAAGATGCTACCATATGCTCTAACCATCTTATTACCATGTATATATGCAAAAAAATGAAGCCATCTTATAAAAAAGACAGCTGCATGCCTGTGTTTACTGAGATGCTTTTCACAATAACCAAACACCAAATAAGCCTAGACTGGATAGAGAAAATAGGGTTTATATGTTATATACAGCAGAGCATTCTTTAGCCATAATACAAAGGAAACTCTGTCATTTACAGCAAAAGTGACTGAACTGGATCACATCATAAGTAAGATAAGCCAGACACACAAAAACAAAAAAAAATAGCATGTTCTCTGTTGGATGTAGAGAAAGGTCACCTAAATGTAGAATATTGATAAAAAGAGACTGGGAAAGATGATGGGCAGATATAAGAAGGGCAAGGACAGAAGAAGGGGTGGTTGGATATGGTCCAAACATGTTCTATACTTGTGTATATGGCAATATCACATTGAATCCCATTGGTATATATAATAAATGTGTTAAATTTTGGAAAAAAAGACACCAGGAGGAAGAACTGCCATCATGGGCAAACCCAAAGCTTTGTTGTGGTTCTCTTTCTATTGAGAATGGGTTTTAAGTAAAACCACACAAAATGAGAGACGTACAGCACGGCTATGCAGGGGAGGCAGCAGAACGGAAATGGGACGGCTGTGCCCAGAGGCCCCTGAAGTCCAACAAAACTGGGAAGCCTTTAACCAGAGGAGGAGGAGGAGGAGGAGGAGGAGGAGGAGGAGGAGGAGGAGAAATAAGGGGAAGAGGAAGAAGAAATGAGAGATTGAAAAGAACTTTGTGAATTATTTATTTATTTTTACTGTTTATGTGCATTGGTGTCTTGCCTGTGTGTATCTCTGTGTAAGGGTATCTGGTCACCTGCAACTGGAGTTACAGACATTTTTGAGCTGCCCTGTGGGTGTTGAGAATTGAACTCAAGTGCTCTTCACTGCTGAGCCCTCTCTTTAGCTCTGGAAAGAACTTTTTTAACAAAGAAAACCAAAGGGAGGAAAGCGATATTTTAGTTCTATAGAGATGGTTCTCAAAAAAGCAAGATTATATATAATCTTTAAGAGGTTTTCAAAATCAACTCTAGATTATATCGTGAGCCCCTGAATTCAAGGATAAATTTTTCTATTACTGTATATATTCTCTCTATTGTTATGGCTTGAATCTGAAGGGTCTCCCAGATCTCATGCATTGAAGGCTTGTTGATGTTCAAGCCAGAAATGATCTGAGGTGGGACTTTCAGAAATGAAATCATGAGATCCCTGGCCTAGTCAACAACTTGATGGACTACTGGAAGGTGATGGAAAGTTAGGAGTGGGGCCTCGTTGAAGGGAGTAATTCTAGGGGTTATGCTCTTAACTACTTCATCTTAACCACGATGTCTCTCTCTATTCTCCCTTAAGATGGTGTGAGCGCCTCGCTCTGCTGTAGCCTCCCTACCATGATCTTTTGCCTTGCCATAGACTCACAGCAGAACCGAGTGACCATGGACTGAAAACTCTGGAGCTATAAACCAAAATAAATTCTTTATTTAGGTTGGTTTTAGGTTGGTATTCTCAAGTGATTTGTTACAGCAATGGAAAGTGGACAAACACAGGTATTAAAACTGGAAAAGGACTGTTCATCTGCTCTAGGCTTCTTCAGTTGAAGAGAATTTACTATTTGTCTGGCTTAGCACACAGATGAAAGACTGCAGGGTGGAGTTCCCAGGAGAAAACACTTCTCTTTGATATGACTGTTCTTGTCTGAAATAACCTCACTGAAGTACCTGTCTCATTCCCTCTCACCCAATGCTACTCTTTTGTACATGATTTACCTTATTATACATTTTAGGCATTTAAAATAAAAAGCGCTGATTATATCTATTTAATGTCTCTATCTTTCTACCTTTCTATTCTGTCACTTGGATGGGGGGGTACTATGATTTATTTTTTAATAGTTGTAATGAGACTGATGAACTTTTAATGTCCTAGCCAGTTTCTCCATGTGGCTGGCTGTTTATAAGCTAGCATAGTAGGCACTCTCTTTCTCTCCCATTTAAAAAATAAAGATCGATCCTGGGACATGTAATGGTCAGGACAATTTTAGTACTCTCAAATTGAAATGAAAGTCAGTGGAACTGATAGAATAGGATCTTGAAGACTCGGATGCTTTCTTTCTTTGTTGAATTGTGGGAGAGGCCCTGGACTAGGCTGGGAGATGCATGGGGTACATTTCAGAGTCACTAAGCAGTAGCAAATGAGAAATTGAGGTAACCAGTCCATAGTTGTGCCCAAAGAACACCTGTAGTGGGTGAAGTTTGAACTTAGGACCACACAGTTAAATATTTACTCTGAGGAACATGTGTAACTGGAGGTCTAAAGATGAAAAAGAGTCTACCTAGTCTACCTTAGGCCTCTATTCTAGCCAGTATAGTGATTCTCTCTCTCTCTCTCTCTCTCTCTCTCTCTCTCTCTCTCTCTCTCTCTCTCTCTCTCTCTCCTTTTTTCCTTCTACCACTGACCCCAACTATCCTTTAATTCCTTATAAAGTTGCTCATTTTCTCATTATGTGACAAAATGCCCTAGTGAAATACCTTGAGAGGAAGAATTACTTACTTTCACTCACAACATCAGAGATGTTAGCTCATCATGGAGAGATAACATGTGGAACAGACCAGTTTTCATCATGACAACCGGGAAACAGAAGAGACATTCTTGGCTTTCTTCTTGTTTTTCCTTTTCTTCTATCCAGGCCTCCAGACTGTTAGATGGCATCACTAAGATTTGGAGTTTCCCCCCTGAATTAATCCTGCCTTGAAACACCCTCTACAGGGTTGTACGTTAATCTCTTAGGTTCTTTTCAATGCAATCAAACTGAAATAAAGACTAACCAACCTAAATGAAGTGGTTTTCTATGCTGTCTCCATTAAGTATGCTTGAATATAGAAATTAGGATATATATATATATATATGATACATATGAATATAAGTGCTCATTCCAAGACTTCTCTGTAGACATGGACTGTACATATATCTTGAGTACCCATAAAGGTACCTGACACTTTATAAGCCAATAATATTTATTAAGCAAATGAATCCACAGGTACACATACACGTACCACAGACATAAAGTGCTGGCTTTAACCTTGTCTGGAGCCACCAGAAGTGAGTTATGACTGGGCTCCTGATAAATGGTGAAACTAGGACAGAGTGAGAGCTTTCCCTCAGTCACTAGATACAGGACACTGCCAAGCTGTTGACTACTTAAAATATCAAACTCATCCAAGTGTCTGTGAATAGATAGTTTTCAAGTGACTCAAACTCCTATGAACAATTTAAGTCATGGGAGGACAAGTCTCAGCAGAGATGTCTTCCTGGTTTACCCAGAGTGACCAGGGTGAGAGAGAGAGAGAGAGAGAGAGAGACAGAGACAGAGACAGAGACAGAGAGACAGAGAGAGAGACAGAGAGAGACAGAGAGACAGAGAGAGACAGAGAGAGAGTGAGAGAGACAGAGACAGAGATATACAGAGGCAGAGAGAGACAGAGACAGAGAGAGACAGAGACAGAGAGAGACAGAGGCAGAGACACAGTGACAGAGACACACACTCATAGAGCCCCCTCTTTCTTTGCTTTTCTGTTTTCCTCAATTTGTTTGACTCACTTCACCTATCCTTGTAGACATGACAGAAATGGCCTTTTGACATTTCCTCTTCTCATTTATAAACTCCATGGGCCCTGGAGGTCTCAAAGGAAAAGGAACAGCCTGAAAGCATGATAAAGTCCCTCTGGGAGGTTTTTACAGACTCATCCATCAAGAATCATGAGTCTTGAAAACAATCAGAAAGCAAAGGAATCTGGCTGGGGTCCCTGTACCTTTACTGTTCCCCACCAAGCCCTTGCCAGTTCAGACCCTCTCTTCAGTGTCAGGTTCTCCAACCCCACCCTTTCTTTCTGTGGCCCTGGAGGGCGGACATGAGTCAGCACTTCGGCTTGAAAGTGTGATCTGCTTCTGAGACCTCAGAAGGCAATCATCTCAGAAGATCTAGGACATACAACTACAGAGAAAGTCACCCTCTCCAACCCCTTCTGCTCTGTGGCCAGACGTGACTCCCACTTTCTAAATGCCGTTTTAGCTGGAGCTTAGCTAGAACATTAAAAGAACAACAGTGTGTGGGGGTGTGTGGTGTGTGTGTGATTGTGTGTGAGTGTGTTAGTGTGTGTGCAGAATGTGTGCAGTGTGTGTGGTATGAATGAGAGTGTGTGTTAGTGTATGAATGTGAGTGTGTGTGTTAATTTGTGTGCAGTATGCATGTGTGCAGTGTATGAGAGTGTGTGTATGTGTGTACACGAACATTTGAACAACAGTGTGCAGTATGTGAATGTAGTGTGTGTTCAGTATGTGTGAGTGCAATGTGTGCAGTATGTGTATACAATGTGTACAATGTTGTACATGCATTGTGTGTGTGTGTGTTGGGGGAGAGGTTAGAACAACAGCAATAACTACCATCCAAGTGCATACACAGATAGCTCCTTCAGAGAACCCCAACAATTTGAACATCTGGTACATGGCAGATGTTGTCTGGAGAGGACAGAAGAAGACAGCAGAGAGAGGAGAGCCAGAATCATCTCCTTTGTTCTTCTAGAAGAGGAAGCATATTAACATTCTTCTTTGGTAACTTGTTAAAACTTAAAGGCATACCTTTCTTTCCATTCTTTGGGGAATGGACCCAAGTTTAGTAATCTTGTTGTTTAGTCAATATTCTTTCTGTTCTGTATTCAGATTTTTCATTTTGCATGGGGAAATAAACCAGTAGGGTGTCCGTTGCTAGCACCATGACAGTTTTTGTCTCGGCTCTTAGGGAAAGGACAAACAGTGTTAATGAGGGGCTGCTACAGACCTCCTTGCGGTTCAGGCAGTTCTGAAGAGGCAAGCTATTTAGCTCCTCTGGGTTAAGAGTGGGAAAAAGCCTCATCCTCAGCAGCCTTTGCAGTCATCAACCTGGTAAAAACCTAACCTGGAAGCTGCAGTTCTCCAGCCTACAAAGGAGCAAGGACAGTTGAGCTCTCACCCTTTTATCTGTTGGGTCTGTTGTGCTGGTTTCCATCTTGCTTGACATGGCATCTCCCTTCCCTGATCAAAAGCAGACTCAGGTTAGAAAGCTCAGTGAGAACTGGATGCTAAAAAATCCAGAAGCTGGATTATTATTTCCAGTCATCTTGTAGCTAAAACAGACAGGCAGTACTCCCATCATGCTCTTGTAAAAATATCAAATATGAGTCTTTTCTATCAAATACTATAAAACTTGTGTTAAGGACAAGCAATTCAAATCTTTTTAATCCCCCTCCCTACCTTGTAAGACATTGATGCAAATGTTTTAATTCCCCTCACCCCAAGAAAACCTTTTTTTATAGAATGGTCTGCTCCTCCAATCTAGTGACACTTTCCCTCTTTCTTCATTTCCTGTGCACCAGTTATTTTGAGACTAGCCAATTGAATAGACAGTGAGGTCATCGGACTACAGCCAATGGGGGAAAAGCACAGTCACCACCAGGGTTAGTAGACAACCCGAATACACTTCCTGTCTGTGTGTTCACTTCTGAAGCCCTCCCTCTTAACCAAGAGTAAAGTTTGCCTAGTCCAGACACTTCCGTTGGAGTGCTGGTCTCTTTCTGTGCAACCCCAAACTTATTTCTCTTACTCTTATTTAATAAAAGTGGTCTTGTTTGTAACTTACTTCTAATTAAAGAGTTCAGATCTCCCCCTGGCTTTGCTAGTGTCCCTCTAGAGCCTGGGAGAAAAACAATGGAAACTTCTTCCTTGGTATGAATTAGGGACGAATGAACCTTTGCAGTCATTGAGGACACTAGGAGAGCATCTCAGCATGAGCATAGCAATGCCCTGAAGGCAAGGCCACACAGCTGCTTAACAATGGATGGGAACAGAGTTTTAGCCTGGCTTTCACTTCCTGCCATGCTCTCATTCCTAACCGGGTACAGCTACCTGAGTCGTGATTAATTAATGAAAACAGAGTGATTTGTTCCAATAGAGAATGGCAGTGTGTGTGTGTGTGTGTCTGTGTCTGTGTGTCTGTGAATGCTGTAGATTAATAGAGAATGATCTAGGTGGTTCAAGATTTTTACACAGCTATTGTCCTTAAATTGTAGACGACCCACCACTCTCAGTATCATGAGGCTGGCCTGCAGAGAGTTCAATTCAGTGAGCTTTATAGACATTGTTCTTGTGCCTCCAAAACGCTTGTGACTAGACAATCAAAAGATGGGGAAAACTTCATCTCGATCCTTTTAAATTCCACAGCCTTTTTACGTGAACTTGAGCAGCTCGGCTTGGGAGGGCTGAAGTGGGCCATGACTTACTCAGGGAATCTGAGTTTTCCCTGCATTGTTAGAACTTGAGGAGCTGTTGTAAAGCCACCCAAGAGTCCTCTTGGGTTTGGCTATAAAATGAGCTTTTTAGGAGTGCCTACATTGACATTAGAGCCAAAGGAAGGGCTAGATAATGGGTAGCTTGTGGCTTATCCAGCTGCCTTTTCCTCCTGGAGTTTTCGGGAGACTTCTGAGGAGTTAACTCATATGATGACTGAGCTGAGGGCACTTTGGGGGTATTCCAAGCAATGGATATCTAAACCATTATTTTCAAAATGTTGGAGACATGCTTCATCCTGACTGCAGATATCTACATGTCAGCATTTTACTTCATTTATGTTTGTTTATATCAATACCTTATTTCACACATATAAAATATGTCTGTATGTACACAGTTGTACATATTTAAATGAGTCATTGAATACA